GCTGCAGGTGCTGAAAGGTACCAACGGGCTGGACGCCGCCCACCTGCCCGGCCCGCTGCAGCCTCCCAGCCGGAGCTAACGCTGCTCGCCCCTGAGCTGGCGGGCGCTGGGGGCTGTCACGTTCTCTTGGGCTGCAGGGATGCATGGCACAAGGGAGCCCTGGTCTACACTAGAAAACTAAGTTGGCTTAATTGTATTGGTCAAGGGTGTGAAAAATCCCCCCTCCCCCACCGTCTGGTGTAGTTAAACCCAGCTAAATCCCTGTGTAGCCAGCGCTAGAAACATTCTTCTGGCAAGTTAGCTCTTGGGAGGTGGGTTAGCTATATCGTTGGAAGAATCCTCCCTCCTCCCCCCGAAGTGTCTATGCTGAAGGAGCACAGGTGTGCATTGCAGCTTTTTAAGAGTGGAGGAGCCCTAATGACTTTAACATAAAGGCAGTGAGGTGCATGTTATAGTTATTTTATGCGCCTGCCTTGGGCATCACTGTGAATAAATAAGGCTTAAGATTTTGTCATGGATATTTTACTAAAAGTCAGGGATAGGTCATGGTTAATAAAGAAAACTTCACAGAGGCTCATGTTCTGTCCCTGACTTTTACTAAAACTATCCATGATAACATGGCAATGGTTAACAGGCTACAGGGATTCCTTTGATGCCCTGCCACCTGTGCCAGGTACCCCTACTGCCCGTAGCAGCTCAGAGCTTGCCTGGTCCCTCTTGCCATGGGGGGTACACAGCTCCCTGCCACTGCAGGAAACCATGGGACCCTGCAGCTCCCAGCTGAAGTCATGGAGTCTTTGGAAGTCATATTCTGTGACAAAATTATGTCTTTATTCCTAAATGTCTAATGACTGGTCTACATTAGGAAATTAGGTCAGTAACTAAATCTCTGGGGTATTTACAATTAAAGCAGCCTAATCACTTGTGGACAGTTCTAGATGGATTAGAGCAGTGGTCTCCAACCTTTTACAGGATGAGATCGCTTTTTGAACATAAGTGCAATCCAGAATCTACCTCAAACACAAATATCTTTGCCCCGCCTCCTTCGTGCCTCTTCTCCAAAGCCCTGCCCCTGCTCACTCCATCATTCCTCCTTTCCATCAGGCAGGGGCAGAGGGTTGGGGTGCAGGCTCTGGTCTTGGGCTAAGGGATTTGGAGTGTAAGGGAGCTCTGAGCTGAGCCTTGGGCAGGAGTTGGGGTGCAGGAGGAGGTTCAGTGTAAAGCTCTGTAAGGGAGTTTGGGTTTAGGAGGGCTCAGGTCAGGGGCTTGAGGTACAGGAGAGGGTACATGACTGGCACAGGGATTCAGGATGCAGGCTCCAGCTGGACACTTCTTACTAGGGATGTTAAATATTGGTTAATTGATTAGTCGATCAACCTCATGAATTCTTATCGGTTAGTCAACTATTCTGTAGTCCCCAGGGATGGGTCTAGAAGCCAGTGCAGTCTGACCCCACTCCTGAGGAGCCCCCTACCACTCCACACTGCTGCCTCTGTATCAGAGCCATCAGCGTGAGGTGCTAGGCGGGAGCTGGTCTGCAAGAGGAGCCAGTTTAAAAATCCGCTCCCCTCGCAGACCAGCTATTTGTTGCCCTGGGCTGCTGCCTCTGGCATGAGCCAGAACTTAACCGGGCTGCCTGTCCACCTGACTCCTAATACACTTTAAATGCAGAGCCACAGTGGGGGTAGGTCCCAGACCCGGCATGAGCTAGAATTGAGCTGAGATGCTGGCCAGCCTGCTAAAAAATGTACTGGCAGGAGAGAGGTTTGGGGGGGGGGGAGGAGGGGAAGGAATGAAGGTAGTATTAACCTATAAGCTTTTGCTTATCCATTAATCAATTATACTATTTGTGGCGGGGGGGGGCCGGCGCCGCCCCCCCCTCCGCGCCCGCG